AATGGTCTAAGTACTGTCTTTGGTTAAAGTTGCTTTTGTTTATGTACGAATTGTTTAAATATAACCATATTTAACAGTTATTTCTAAATTCAAAAGGAAAATTGCTGTAGACCAACAGTTTTCATTCCTTGTGTAACAGTGTAGCACTTCATCCTTCGCTTGTATCTCTCTACAAACCTGCTAAAGCTCAGCTAGGACAACAGACAGGAGTAACACATGGCGATGCTGCTGCCTCCTTCCTCTTTTTCCAGTAGTCGACACTGCAGGCCCACCACCCGTCCATCAGCTCTCTGTTCAGCGGCTCTTGCAAGGTCAGCCAGTCTGTCCCACTCACGGGCCTACTCCTGGGCCAGTTTAATACCTACTGACAGGCTGGTTTCTCCAAGGCAAGGTAGGTTATCACTAAAGCCACAGAAAGGAAGGTTAGTGACTGCAAAAGGACTTTTCCACTTCTTTTGCAGGTTTGTAGCTCACCTTCCCTACAAAGCGCTCCTCTTCCCTGCAGATGTGTAGCTAGCTAGCTCACTCTTCACCTAAAGGTCCTCAACCCTGATGGTCATGGGAACCTGCCCTGTAACAAGACCTTATTAAATAATTAATTCCCACTGGGGAGATTTTTAGTTTATTTTGGTTTGATTAGCAGCCTGGTCATAAAGTTCTATCTGATTTTTGTTTACTTATAGCTCTTCTAGGTTCAGTGCTGGATATTGGTTCAGTTAACCTATGTCTTCACAGGACAAGAAAAATATTGTTGTTTTCTCTCCTCTGAGAGATTTACACATTGTAGAGTATATAAAATAGTATAAAATCCCCAAAGCTGATTTAATAGATCTTGGGTATTTGACATACTGCCTTTGATTTTAATTAGGGAAGGAGCTCTTCCATGACCTCCCTTAAGAAGACAAGTCAAAATCTTAACAGCTTTATTGATCTTTTCAAGGAAAAAGTATTTTCATTAGTGTTATTGGTCATTTATCTCTTCTGTCACCAAAAAATTGAGTTATTCTATATTATCCTTGATTTCTTAACAGAAATCACAAGATTTTTTCATTTCTTATCATTCAAGGAAGATGGTTTTACTACCTTTTTCTTTACATTATTAACATTTAAAGGAATTTAAATTAAAAATAAAGAAATGCAAATTGCAGATTTCACTGCTTCCAAGGTTAAAAATGTATTATAAGCTCCTATTGAACATATTCTGCAATGCTCTTCTACTTGGTTATACTTCCACAGTAGAGGGCCAGTTTCTCTCCTTGAGTCTTCAAAATGGCATCAGGGTTCATTTGCTCGGACCCTGGGACTGATATAAATTAGCTCTCAGAATGGTGGAGCTCTAAACCATTTCTTGGCATTTCCCAGCTCTGAGGACTTAAACCAGTCTCAAAGATGCAAAAAAAAAAAAAAATCCATCTAAGAGTTAGTTCTGGAATATGAGCTATGAACCCAGGTTTTTTGAATGAAAAGTGGCTGCCTCAGTGTAATTTTGACATATATCCAGTGGCTGTGTGTCAGAGAATGCCTGTAGCTATTGCTTACCTATTATTGCTTATTTTTCACTATTTGTATTTGATTTTCTGCTTAGCACTAGACAGATATCCTAATGAAACACTATAAGTATGGTAATAATAATTTATAAAACAAGGACCAAATGAATATTAACTTTTTTTTATCAAAGACACAAATATCTATGTCTGAAATTTAAAGGCTAAAAAAATATTTTTGCCTACTTTGTAAGTTGTGAATGACTGCATTAATCTTCCTTTTTGCCTTCTCGGAATGTCATTTTCAGGTTTTGTTCTCTCACTTTGTGTATCTTCTGGATTTCTACTTTTTCAGAATAAGCTTACTCTCTTACTTCTCCGACCTTAATGCTCTCAATTCAACAGTTGTATGCAGGGAACTGACAGAAAGTGTTGGAAGTCCAGAAAGTCAACAATGTAGCAAGCATCATAATAGTAGCATAAAAATCTGATAGCTTTTATGATGTCTGATGTACCACAGAGCAATGCAAGGATTTTAGCAGCTGCATCACACTGTCTCGAGAGAAAGGCCCCGGCTAATAATGTGACTCCAAAGATGTCCTGCCAAAAGCATCTCCCACACCCCAACCTTCTAGCTAAGCCTTGATTAGTTAACTCAGGTTGAAAGCAAAGAACATGGAGGTATACTGAACATTTGAATGCAATATATTGGAAACAATATGCAATCTGTATACATCTGTATTAGTTCTTTAGATCCCCTTTTCGCTTAATGAGGAGGTACAGACAAATCTAGATCTACAATTCATCTCATCCTAAAGCACTCGTTACACATAAGGCAGGTCAATCATGTCCTTAAAAGGTCTAATTATCCCCCTTAACTACGCGACCAATGCACATATCGAAAGTTTATACTATAGTCCTATGAAGTTAGCGAGATGAAGCTCACTAGTGCCTCTCTTTAGTAGTAGAGGGGACTACTAAGTTCCCCTCACAGCTAGCATTGACTTACACAGCTGAATAAGATATGAACTAAGATCCTTCCAAATCTCCTTCACAACTCAGAGAGGAGTGAGAGATGCAACATGCCTGCAAATGGCCAGTCCATTACTGATACAACACATTGAAATGACACCGAGCTGCATCCAAAGTGTGGTGCTGACTGCTCTTTTACAGAGCAGCAAATACTTCCCAATTTTTTAAAGTACCTCTCTTTAGTTGTTTTCTACCTGCTACCACCTTATTGGCCTTCCTCCACCTGTTCTCCAGGCCTCAGCCTCTTTCTCTGCCTCAACACCACTGCTGGTGCTGCAACTCTGATGCTCCTACTTAATAGCGCTGCCTCCAAATAACAGGAAGAGGAATCCCAACCGTAACCTTCTAATGAAAACATTTTACTGAAGAAAGGGAATTTCTGGGTTGAGTCTCTGATCCAATGGATAGTGTTTCTAGATTTCTCAAACCATGTTTTCAATGCATGCAATCTTCAGATAACGTCTGCTCTCAGGGAGCTGAACATTATAGTTTGGCAGTCAATATAAAACATTAAAGTATATGTTAACTCTCTAGATAATTTCAGTATTTTCCAAAGGCAGCTGAGATTTATTCTCAAGTATGTGGACAATCTGACAGATCAACCATCATCATTTGTACCCATAAATCTCTGCCTTGTACATTTTGTCATCACATTCTTTCCAATCTTGGCTTTGTAACTGAGAAATAGGTACCTCAGTTGATATTTTCTGTCTTGCCATGCTTTCTGTATTTTTGACAAGTTAAGGATCTCATGTCCTTGTTCAGCTGCCACAGTTTAATGCTGCAAGCCTACCTGAAATAAAATGCCAGCTCTGTATGAATCTCAGTTCCATTCTTGTTGCACATAGCAGCATAGTAGCGCAGAAGTTTTCACAGCATGTGCTGAATGCTTCTGGGACCTTTAAAAACTGTCTAAATTATTTTCTACTTGAAGCATTTCACTTCCAGGAATAAACTGGCTAAACTTTTCATGAGTAAGCCCTTTCATAAAATATTTCCTTCCAACTTTGGTATATCTTTTTACTGTTGGAAATTATGACTATCATGAGAAAATTACTGACAAGAGCTTTTATAGAAGTGATATCCCAGGCACCATATCACAGGAAACACACTGTGCAGTACCTTGTGTATTTCCTTTTCATTCACTCCGTAATATTTCAGGATGGAATAGCTGATCACCAGCTCCTTGATATGTGGGATAATTGCTTCATGCTGTCACAGCTATGCCCATGCTACAGCTTTGTCTAGAAGCCACCCTGGGGTTTTGCTGACAGTCAAAAGAGACTCAGTCAAAATTTCGGCATCTGGTTTGCAAATCTTAATTGATACACTGTCTTCAAGTCTGAATTGCTTGTATTGCAGGTTATAATTTTTGAGAGGCAATGGATAGTACTACAGACAAGTGCATTTTTGTCTCGTTTTTATTTAACTATTGATCTGCTTTTTCAGTCCAGAAACAGGCAGGGTGAGGTTGTCGACATGTTCTGATGCAGTATACTTCCGTCTGTGCTGATCCTGCACTAGACGGCCTCCGTTATGTCCCGGATCCCAACAAATACTACACGTTCCTCTCGCAGACAGCATTACTGGTCTGTTGTTTCCTTTATCCAGCAGCACTTGCCAGTATTGGTATTGAGCCATCTTTGGTATTGAGCCCTGAGAATATTTCCACTTTTGCATAGTCAAGCATAGATAATAAGAGCTTTGTTTAAGCTGCTAGAGTCTGCTCCGTGAAAACACATGGCTTGTCTCACTTCTCCAAGGCTAGTATGATGCTAGTCAACCAATGGGATCAAGCACTCTTTGCAAAGTATCTGGACTCCAGAAAAGAAAAAGCAGTTATTACTGTAATGCAGCTAGGTCCACTTATTTTATCCTATGAGCATCTGAGATGAGCGCTGACTGATTCAGATGTTATAATGGTGTGGTTATGAAGTTGAAGAACATTTGGTCAAGCATTTCTGCCAAACACCACTCCTGACTAGGAGCCAAAGGAAGACTTAGATTTGAGATTCTTCTCTCTGGCACATTCCAATAAACACAAATAACTGCCCACTGACACATTCTGAAAACTGAATGACAGATATGTTGCTATAAACTTCTCCACTATATAAAATAGACAGTTATGTAGAGAAAAAAGGTTTTTGAAGACAGATTTTTTTTTCAAACATTCATTGAGTTCAGGATGTATTAAAATATTGAATGTATTAGCATTTCTGGAAAAGCTTATCGTGTTTCCATTTGTAAAGTTAAAGTTAATCATCTGTTCAAAAGCTGAGTATAATTACCTGCTTTTCTATACTAGTTTGGAAAAGGAAGATCAATTTCTTTTGTATATATTAGCAACTATTGTGTTTGCCTGAAAAATGTATTTTTTAGGGGGGAAGACCCTTTTAAGACATCTGTAAGATAAGCGAATTTGAAAAATCATTGCTGGAAAGTACTCTTATTTCCCTTTTATGGAAAGAAATGGTGAGCACGTACTTTTAGATAGTTGGGACTCTTTGTTATTTGATACAAATCCAAGCATTCCTGGAAGTATCATGTACACAGCACAATTTGCAGAAGACGTAACCTGATCGCAACAAGAGCTGTGAGCTATGAAACAAGAGAGGGAGTTCAGGCATCAGCATGAGAACAGGAGCCTCGGAAAGTTCTGAGATGTGCAAAGACGAGAGACCATTTGGTGTTGGCCTGCAGAAGTGAACCAAGAGCCTTACAAAGTATGTAGAAGAGAAATGGTGCTAGCAGTGAGCGTTCAAATATCGCTACTGTGGCATTGGCCAGCCTGGATAGACAAACGTACAAAAAGGCAGGGTCTGCAATATAGAAATCCATCAAAAGAGTCTCTGCAAAAGCCAAGCTAGTTTTTTTATAAGCTAAACATAGTCTCTGTTTATCTATGAACACTAGAAAATTCCTGGAAAATTAACTGAAAATGTTGAAACTGTTGAAAAGTCGTAATCTCTACTAAGCTCTACGTTAGGATGCAACAGGTCAGCGCACTAGCCAAACAAGCACACTGCTGTGCTGCACTGCTCCTCCCAGCAGTCGCGCTAATCCTTGTATTGATTGCTTCTAAAATTCGATTCATAGCAACTTAACAGGCAACAAGTCTATGTAAGCAATAATGTAAAAAGACATTAAAAAATAAATATATACCCATACATTTCAATAAAGATGAAAAGCAATCATTGTTAATTTATTAAATAGTCCAACTGCTAGTAGAGTATTTTATTTATAACCAACATTTGAAAATCTGGATAACTTCTCAATTTTGTAAAAGACAGAATAGTTTTTAAAAAACACAATCTTTTAAAAAACTTTGTTCATTACAAAGCCTGAAAATAGTATCAGTCACCCTCAGTCTTCCCTTCTCTGCCTGACAGTTTTCATCACCTGCTTTTAGCTAAAGTATTAGCCAAGACTTGAAAACAGTAAATCACAGAGAAAACACCACATACTATGTAAACCACATCCCATAGCTATCAGAGGTCCACACTGGGAAATCAAATCCTTGCGCTCATGCATTCTCACAACCAGAGATACCTTATTGTATTTTTCTCTGTACAGCTACTTCGCATTCAATGATGTCCTCTTTCAACATTCTGTGATGGTCTAGATCAGAGCTGTGAAACGCATAGTCTGCTGGTCACAAGCAAGCTGGTAAGTAACTTCTGTGGTAGAAGCTGATAGATGACAGTCACTCAAGTTAATAACGCTCCTTTAGTTTACCTGGGAACTAGACGTAAGGCAGTGTGAGTCCGCCAGCCAGGTCCTAAGGCATACTTCCCAACCTGAATAAATGCATATGCAGGCTGGGCAGCCAGAAGCCAGCAGGTGCAGGAGATGCGCACATGGTGCAGGCCACATAGCACGCGCTGCCTCTGTTGGCATACAGATCTGCCAGGACACAGGTGAGCACTGCCGCTGACCTTAAGCCCATTAGTCATTTTTCCCCTTTCCCGGTATGCGAGCTGCTGGGCAGCAGGTGGCTGGCTGTATGCATTTTCTTTACCTGATACGTATATAAGTGGGTCATTGCAACCGGAGTGGATGAGCAGAAAGGGGGTGCAGACAGCAAGAAGCTGTGGGCAGGGTCTGGCAGGAACTGCTGCATGGAGGAAGGCTGCATTTTGAGGTGGGCAAGTTGGGAGCTTTTAGTGGCCTGGCAAGTCATTAGGCATGAGGCCTTTTGAGGCAGACAGGACTTTTTTTCCTTCTCCTCTGCAACAGCGGGCAGTGATTTCATACTCTAGAGACAGATTCAAGAGCAATGTTAAAAAACATTTCTCTTGAATTTATGGGCCACAGACGCTTCCCACGCCCAAATTCAAAAATAGGCTTAAAAACTTCCTTTAATGGGCACTGGAAACAGAAGCTGTTACATTTTTATGGTTGTTCCTACATGCCCCAAGACCCTGGTAGGAATTATAGCATCATTGAGACTTTTGAAGAGGAGTCCAAATGGAAAACAAAATACTGTCAGTATCTGTGTGAATGTAAGTTCCGCAAAATTCACACTTTTAACTAAACTGAAAGGTTTATATATTTTATATATAGATATACATACACATACAAACATACATACATGTGTATTTATATTTTTATATATATAAATAAATATATAAACAGTTGTCCATTCTTTACTGCATCTGTCAGAGTTTACTAACATCAGAACAGTCCCCAAAATACTATCAGTCATGTTTGGATTGCTCAGACTCTGACTATGGCAGACCTGAATCTATACGTAGCACTAAGTTTATATGTGCCTTATAAAAATTGCTTGAACTCAAGAAACTATTGATTATCTGTCAGTGTCAAAATTATGCATAAATACAAACTAATGAGAATTTCAAAATTACAGTTAAGAATATGCATAGCAAAATATTTTTATAGATATAAAACACATTTTCATTCATCGCAAGCAGTATCAAGGGAAACGACTAAAAAGAGCTTTCGTGACTTTTTAAAATGGGTGCCTCCACTATAAGCCACTGTTATAGCTACTTTTCTCATGTAATCTTTGAAATCTTGAATAGCCATGGTCTAACATAACTATGTAAATTCTGGTAATCTGGGGTTCATCTGAAAGGTCCTAACCGTAAAGCAACTCCTACAAACTACACCTCAGATAATCTGGTCCCTAGATTTGAGGTTATTATTGTAGAATTATTCTCCCTTTAATTGCAAGTCGTTTTGAAAACTCCCTCTAAACTATTGATAAATGTTCTCCATTAGGAAAAACTACTTCAGCAGTTACAAATAACTACTCCAACGTTATTTCAGTATCCAATGCCAAGTACCTGGTTTTGACAAACAGCACCCAAGACAGAACAGCAACAGCAAAATGAACTGCTGACACGTAACTGTTAAGAATGAAATACTGTTCAGAATGATATGACGTATCTGGTAGATTTAAGTAAATTTAATTTTTAAATTTACTTAATGTAATTTAAGTAAAGAAGTCTTTCCATCCTACACACCTACAGACAACTATTGAAAGCTAACAGCTTGTACATGATATTAAAAGCCTATTCTGCTGTTGAGTGCAGGTATGCACTTGCACCATTACAGGTAGCTCCAGGGCTTTGTTGAAACGCCCCTCCTGCCTTGCACGTGATGGAGAGCAGATCAACATTGTGGTTTAGGCTAACCCACTAGTGACTGGGCTGGAAAGTACAAAACTATAAAACTATAGTTCAACAGCTTCAACTTGTAGCCAAATTGTGAGAGAAGGGTCTGTTCCAGACACACACTCTGAGGAGTGTGTGCCTGCAAAATCTATGCTGATCAGTGGGGCGTGGAAGTCCTTGACAGAAGGCCTCACTGGGAGGACGGGCTCCTTTTGATCTTACAGTTCATCTCATCTAAAATTTCATTTCCTTGCCAAACACTACTTCTTCATACCTACTTTAACCAGAATCTCACACCCATGTATCACACACCGCCCTATGTCTATAGCTGCAGAAGTATTCACTCATGTACCACACCTGAGTACTCCCATAATAAACCTACAACTGTATACACACACATCAGAGCCACACACCACCTAGAGGAAAACTGGCCACACGCATCACACCATTTACCATGCAGCATAATCTTTTGCAGACATATATACATATATACACACATATATACTCCATATCCATAAATCTCATTCACTAACCCAATCTCAACAAAAGCACATGCCATCTTTCACGTACAGTAAGCCTGTACCCCTATGCAGCAACACCCCAACCCATGCAATAATCCTATGCATACTGCCTCTACCCACATGAAGAGTACTGTACCCAGGGCCCTGTGCGTATGTGCAACAAATGTGTGAGTATGTGCACGACTGTCTTAAGTGCTATGAGTGTGTGCGTGAGCGTGTATGATGTGCATGCACAGTATGAGTACACAGGGTGCATATGTGAGTGAGTGAATCTGTGCATGTGTAGCATGTGGGTGCATAGCTGAATGCGGTATATATGCAGATGTTTTGCGTGTCGGGGTGTGACTGTGTGCATATGTCAAACATATATGTGTACAAATACATACTCCATATTCATAAATTACATTCAGTAAACCCAATCTCAGTAAAAGCACATGCCATCTATCGCATACAATAAGCCGACAGAAGACTACACATAGGGCATGTGTGTGCAGGGATTGTGTGAAGACATGCATGTGTCAGTGTGTGCCTGCATAGCATGGGTAAATACAGTGGGGTCCACCATGTGGAAGTCAACAAGTATGCCCATCCTCATGTGTGGATGTCTGTGAGTGTCTGTGTGAGTCTCTGTGTGGGTATGTGTGATACCTTGTGTGTGTGTGTGTGTGTGTGTGTGTGTGTCAGTGCCTGTATATGCTAATGTGTGTGCACACAAGTGTGCATGTGTGTGTAATAAGTATGCGTGTGTGTGTGTGAGGGAGACAGTGTGTCAGTCCCTATGTGTGTGAGTCCCTGTGTAGGCATGTGTGATCTGTGTCTGTCTGTCAGTGTGTCAGTCCCAGGGT